GAAGAATTAACACTTCCAATTTTATTAGTCGCATTGCACCAGTATTCTCCCTCGTCAACTCGTTTGATATTATTGAAGGTCAAAGTGGTGGATGCAGTTGTGTCAGTAACCTTACGATAGGTAATGTCAATCAGACCTTCTTCTGTGGGTATGGGTATTTCAATTCCATTTTTCATCCACCACACGGTAAGAACTAATGATGGTTCATTGTTTTTTAAGACAGGCAGCGGTTTTCCTTCGAACAAACACGTCAGTGTATGCTTGCTACCTTCCTTCAAGGTTGTTGATTTGGGACTTTGAAGGAAACTTGGTGAATCTGTTTGTTTTTAATACCAAAAAAAGACATCATCAAGAAATGTGAAAACGGATGCAGTACAGAATACTAAAAATGGTGCGAAATGCCAAGAAAAATCAACACTCTATGCGAGAAAAAGCGGAGAAATTTAGACCGCAATAACCGATCTTAAAAATAAAACAAAAATGGCATCAGTGAGAATAGATGAGTAGCGAAGCAAAAACGTGGAACAAAATTAAACCAAGTCAGTTTAAGTCATTCTAAAAAAATAAACCAATATTTTCTTATTCATACAGTAAGCTTGAAGCTCGTGGGCTCGTGTATCCTCCATACACACTCCTTACTAAGTTCAAAATTCTATACACACAACTCTCAACTCGTGTTGTTTTTCATGGAGGGAGCCTTAATGTGTACTTACAGTTGACAATAAGCTGTGCTGATGATGATACAACACTACCGACTTTATTGGTTGCATTGCAGCTAAAGTTTCCTTCGTCACTTCGTACCACACCAGTTATCGTCAAAATCCTACCATCACCAAAGACATCGAACCTTGAAGGTGCTGTCGTGTCTAGTGTAGCGTTGTTTTTCATCCACTGGATGGACGGTGAAGGATTCCCACCAACAGCACAGGTAAATGTTACATTATCGTTTTCCTTCACTTCTTTTGTTCCATTTGGTTGAATGTTTATAAATTCTGGTGGATCTGTTTTAGTGGGAATGTATCACAAATAATACAATTAATACAATTTACAAAGTTCCATAAGACACTGCATAGATGTTAGAAGTTCTAGTTAAKTTCTTTTATAATCCACCGTTAGTTTTAGATGTACATCGCGTATTGAAGGTTATGGATCAGGCGACTTACGATGCAGATTAATATTGAGATGAGAA